ATAATGAGTTCAGAAATTAATTTAGCCATATTTGATTTTTGACAAAGGTGCCAAGACAATTAATTGGGGAAAGAAAAGTTTTTCCCAATAAATGATACTGAAGTTGAATATTCCTATGGTGAAAACAAATTAAAAAAAATATCGTCCTTATCTCACACCATACATAAAAATTCATTTAAAAGTGATCACGAAATAGACCTAAATGGAAATGCAGGGAGCATAAAACTTTTGGAAGGAAAAAAAAAAGCAACCTTGGGGTAGGCAAAAACTTCTCATATAGGACACAATAAACACAAACCAGAAGAGAAGCCAAACTGGTAAGTTGGAATCTACCATTAAGGCATTTCCTATTCAAAAGGTACTATTAAGAATTAGGTGATGGTTTCTTAGATATGATACCAAAAGCATAAGCAACAAAAAACTAAAAATAAACTGTACTACATCAACATTAAAGACTTTGGTGGTATAAATGTTACCATCAAAAAAGTGATAAATAATAAAATATTCCCCAAAAGTGAAAGGACAACCCATAGAATAAGAAAAAAATATTTGCCAATTATAGGTCTAATAAGAAACATGTATACAGAATATATAAAGAATATACAGCTCAAAAATAAGTCAAATATCCCAATTTTAAGATAGATATGGTCTTTGAAAAGATAGTTCTCCAATAAACACATGACAAGATGCACAATATCATTAGTTATCAAGAAAATGCAAATCAAACCACAATGAGTTAACACTTCACATCCAAGAATGGCTATCGCCAAAAAGATAAAACAAAGAGACACTGGAATCCACATGCTTTGCTCTTGGGATTGTAAAATGGCACAGTCACTTTGAAACAGTTTGGAAGGTCCTGAAAATGTTAAACATGCAGTTACCATTTGACCTAGAAATTCATCGCAGGTATACACCCAAGGGAAATGGAGACATATGCCCACACAAAAATTTGTACACGAATATGCCTAGCATCGTTATTCATAATAGCCAAAAAGGAGAAATGCCCTAAATGCCCATCATCTGATAGATGGGTAAATAAAAGATAATATATCCATATAATGAAATATTACTTGGCAACAAAAAGGAATGAAATACTGACATATGCTCCAACATGGATAAACCTGGAAAACATTATGCTAAGTAAAAGAAGCCCATCACAAAAAACATATATATTGTATGATTCCATTTATACGAAATGTCTATAATAGACAACGGTATAGAGATGGAAAGCATGTGGCTGCCAGGGGCTGGGGGAGGGAAGGATTCAGAGCCACTGCTAATGGGTACAGGGTTTATTTAGGGGGACAAAAATGTTCTCAAATTAGATTGTGTAATGATTTTACGACCCTGTGAGTAATGAAAACCACTTCACTGCACATTTTAAATGGGTAAATTCTATGGTGTGTAAATTATATCTCAATAGAGCTGTTTAAAAGGGTTCCATAAAGAAAACAAACAAAAAAAAGCTACAGAGTAGGAGCAAATATTCATATTACATATATCTGACAAAGAATAAAATCTATAAAGAACACTTCCAAGCCAAAATATGATGGTAAACAATCTAATAAAAATAAGTACAAGATTTGATTGGACACTTTACCAATATATTAATGGCCCAAAACGACATAAAAAGATAACTGCCATCACGAATCATCAGGAAAATGCAAATGAAAACCACTATGAGATACCATTGCTTTCCCATTAAAAAGGCTAAAACTGAAAAAAACTGGAAGCATCAAGTGTTAGCAAGAAGTAGAGAACAGGAACTTCCATGCGCGGCAGGCAAAAATTTAAAATGTTAAAAACACTTCAGAAAACTGGCAGTTTCCTAAAAAGTTCAAAATAACACCTCCTATATGGCCCACTCATTCTACTTCTAGGTTTTCACCCAAACATACACCCACACCAAGGTTTGTACATGAATGTTCATAGCAAACTTTACTCATAATGGCCCCCAAATGGAAAATAATCCAACTGCCTATCAACAGGTACGTGGATAAAATGAGAACTGTCCAGAGCAAGGGAATACTGCTCAGCAATAAGATGGAATGAACTACTGATCTACACTGCTACATGGATGAATGTCAATAATTATGAGTGAAATAGGCCAGACACAAAAGTATACATGCTATATACTCCCATTTATATAATATTTTTTAAAAATGCAAAGGAGCCTTGGCTAGTATGCCTCAGTTGGTTGGAGTGTTATCCTGTGGACCAAAATGTCACGGGTTCAGTTCCCGGTCAAGGCATGTACCCAAGTTGTAGGTTCGATCCCCAGTTGGGGCATGTACAAGAAGGCAACCAATTAATGTTTCTCTCACATTGATGTCAGCCTGTCAGTCTGTCTCTCTCTCTAAAAACGATGGAAAAAAAAATCCTCAGGTGAGGATTAAAAAAATGAAAAAAAGACAAAACAATCTCTGCTGAATGAAAGTGGGCCACTGGCTGGCTGGGATCAGAGGCAAGGGAGGGAGAACTTCAAGGGGCCACAAGGTATCTTTTGGAGTGATGGAAATTTTCTGTTCTTGATTGTGGTCGTGGCTTTCTGGGCATGACTCTCTCATATTCATTATTGAATTGTTCGATTTACATGGGCGTAGTTAATTTTATGCAGATTAACCTCAAGAAAGCTGATTTTTAAAAAGAGAACCAATGAAAAAAGAATTCATACAAGTTAACTGTGTATTAGCATATCCAGTGTTTCTGTAAATAGTGCCTCTAAAATGTTTAACAGTGTACTTAGTTTTTTTCTTATGTTCTTCAAACATTGCCTCTAGATGTGGGTTTTGTGATTAATTTGCCTGACAAACTTCATGCAGTGCCCCCTAAGCGTTCATCCCAACCCCATTCCTCTGCGCATTAACACGAATTCTGAATGAGTGTGGTCTATATTAAGTTAAATTGTAAAAGAGTGGAAAGCACGACAGAAAAGCTCAGTGAGGGGTGGGGACAGCCGTGCTGACAGTACAACATCTAAACGTTGTTCTAACGTCCATTCTGTTCCAAGCTCTTTTGTGCTCTATGCCAACTGCTTTTGACATAAATTTCTGCTGGTGAGTATACACATGGTCCCCAACCTCCAATAGTTCGACTTACAACTTTGTCTGCAGAGACGTACTGATGAAACGATATCAACGTCCAGAAAGTAACCAGCCAGTATTGAGGCCCTACTCTTTATGGAAGACCATTTCCCACACATTTCTCTCAGTCAATACTCACTATAGCCTGCTAATGTAAATATTATGGTGATCCCCATTTTTTTCCAATTAAGGAAACTGATGCTCAGAGAGGTCCAGTTATTTGCCCAAATTCATGTAGCTGGTAAGAGGCAGGGCTGAGAATTATATATTGGGGGTGCTTTTTAACTGATTTAAGTGACAGTTCCAACACAGAACTAAAGCAAGTGAATACAGGTAGCTTTAAATTTAAGTATTAACACTGTTTCTCATCATCAATAAAAAAGTGTACATTTAAATACACTACTGACATTTTGTGGGGCTTTTTCTTGTCACCAGAATTTCATATTCTTCCTATTGGACAGTCAATATTTGGTGGGATATTGATTCACCTGCTTCTTTTAAGAGCAGACTCTGTACAAAACGAAGTCACATGTGCTTCTAGGGAGCGTCCCCAGCCTCTGGAGAGCTATCACCTCAAGGAAGAACTAGAAATGTGACAAACTGTAAATCAAGCAGGATGGCCAGGAGCCAGGGAAGGCTGAACTCAGGCCACTGGGAGGCGGCGTGGAGCCTGCAGTCAGAACTGCTCCAACAGCTGGGCTCCCGGCCGGCAACAACACACATACCTGAAACCCTGCGGGTCACCGTCTCGATTGCCATTCGCCATCAACTGCGGGTCACCACCTAGAGTGCCATTCGCCATAAGCTTCCAGCCTGGACATTTTTTGAATGTTTATACAGAAATGTCATAATCTACTACAAAGATTTTAAAGGCAGAATCTTTTGAATAAAATGCCTTGATGAGCACTAATTTGCATCCTGACATGATCCCCAGTTAAGGTGGTGTTTAAACAGTCATAAGGGGAAAAAAGACATAGATTTAAAAAACTAAATTGTTAGACTAATTCTCAATTCTTCTGAATAGCTTTGGCAATTGAAAGTCTGAAAATCATAAATATAATAATATAAGTATATATTCTGACCTTCAACAAAAGTTCTCTTCAGTCACTCAGATCAATAATAAGGTATTTCAGAATTTATTTTATACAGTTACACTTTCTATCACTTACTTCTAATGAATCTAGTCCTGGACTGCTCCTAGGAATTACCTCACTTAAGAGTGAAGCATTTGTGTGTGTGAGGGGGCAGGCTAATTTCATCTCACATTTAAAAAATACATGTTCAAGTACAGTCCCTAACTGAACATTTAGCTTTCGTATTTCTTCCCTCTTCTGATTCTCCAGTGTGACTAGAATGCAGAAATGATCTACTGGGGTTGATAACGTCAACCCCAGTTTTACTTTTCTTATTCTGGCATGAGCTCCAGTTCAGTCATATGTGTGCTTAGCAGGCAGCCAAAGAGTAGAGGGAAGGGACAGAGCACACAGCTACCATCTGCTGCTACCTCCCCCAGCCGCCCTAGAAATGAAGACAAGGGTAGGAGTTCCTCCTGGAGACAAGAGCAGAGTGTACTTTACAGTGGCCCACAGAAGCGTTTTCAGGAAGCAACATTTGGACCTTGCACGCTAAAAAGCAAAACAGTCATCCTGAAGGTAGGTGTACCCTGCAATGGTAGCATTGAATCCCACCGTGGAAGCCTCAGATTTTCCGTTTACCCCCGCAGCTACAGACTAGACCAGGTGAGGTCTGCAGCCTCCGGTGTTCAGCAAACAGTCTCTAGTCGGGTGTGCTCATCTCCAATGTCCCACAGTCCTCACTGCTCCCTACTCTCTTACCTGGCCCACTACACTATTTAACTTTAGGCATTTAAGTTTGCAAATGGTCCACTCTCATCAATTTGAAAAAGGTACTTACAGCTGCATGACCAAGTATAAGTGATTTGGGCTTTCATAAATATCTTCCAGGGCAACGATGTTTTCATGTTTAATCCTGAAAGAAAAAAAAAATGAAAACACACAAAAATAAGTATGAAACATGAAAACTTTTAAAAACAGATGTCATTACAGCAAAAAGTTTTAAGTATTAAAAAAGAAACAACAGGCTCAAAATAGAGTCACTTGTGCTAAGCCCCACATCAGCAAACCAAGACTTAATACCTAACCCAAGTGCAGTTACAATCCCCAGAAAGGTAACCTTAACTGGTCAGTCTGGAATTTTCTGGTTGACACAAGAGGTAATCTGCTACACAGCCTGTTCTGTCCTCCTTAAATAGATGGCCTAACCCAGAAACACTCCATTCTCTTCCCTGCTGCCTCTAAAACCCTTCCATTCTTTGTAGCTCCTCCGAGCTCCTTCCTACTTGCTAGATGGGATGGTGCCTGATTCATGAATTGTTCCATAAAGCCAATTAGATCTTTAAATTTTTTCAGTTGAATTTCTGTTACTTAACATACTCCAAACTCCTTAATGTGACATTTAAGACTCTTTACAATCTTGTCCCCAACCTTGTTTCCAGAACAATTTCCCATTATTCTTCCTCTACTCTGTTCCCCTTAATTCCTTCCTGAGTCTGGCTGTATACCCGCCAATGAAGCAACACTAGATTAACTACTCTTGCTTCATGTATATCCCAGCTTCTTTGCATTTGTTCATATGAATCCCAGAAACGGGCCAAACCTGTCAAAATCCCATTAATTTGCTGGGAGAATGTAATTCTCCCTCTTCTGTAGTATCCCACTGGCAGCACAGGCTGGCCTAAACAGTTCATTGCCTGCAAATCCACCCGCATACCAGGTGAAATGTAACAGGGGGCAGTTTCCTTGTCAAGTTCATGACTCCAGTGTAGGCAAAGGAAAACCAGACTGACCTCCCCTTGGGACTATAATCACCGCCACCACCAATGTCAATTTGGTATCCAGCAAACTAAGTAGATGCTGCTCAGTGTGTCTGCCAAAGAGCAGCACTAGCCTCTCCTGGGAGCCTGTTAGAAATGTAAATGCTCAGACCTTCCCCTTGTCAGAATCAGAATCTGTAAGGGCAGGCCCAGAAAGGTTTCAATAACATCCTCAGATGATCTGTATGCACCAAGCCGAGCTAGAGAAATTCTGTACTAGGCCAGTGCTTCTCAACTGAAGTGTGCGTAGGAATCACCTGGAGTCCTGGTTGCACACCCTGATTGAGCAGGACTGGGATGGAGGGACGGGGCCCGTGAGTCTGCATTTCTAACAAACTCCTGGAGATGCTGACGTTGCGGGTCTGCAGACCACACTCTCCCAGCAAAGTTCTAACGGAATCAAGAGAGAAGGGAGCAGCCCAATGGCTAGCCCCTGGAACGCTCCATTAAAAGTAGTTTCTGCTCAGAATGTAAGGCCTGATATTTATTTAAAGCATTTGCAAGGAGAATCATTTTATTACTCTGTGAGCTAATTAGTTCTTACCACAAGCTGTTCGCTGAAATGAATGCTGAACTACCTATAAGCCAGGATTTAACAGATTCTTGTGAACCCCTATAAGCAGGGATGATATCTTACTCATTTTGTTTTTCTCTTGTACCTGCATTGATCTATTAAATGAATGTTTCCTGAATGAATGGAATTTAAAGTTTGTTGCTCTTAAAGAGCAAAATCATTATTTCATGTGGGAAAACAGGCAATATTCTTAAGTGTAAGATGTCTGCCCCTCAAAAGTAAGTTTACAAGGTAGAACAAACCAGAATATTATCTTGCTGTTGAGTAAATGAAAGAAAGAAACAAAATAGTTAACTGAGAGCGGTAAAAGCTTTGATTCCTCCAGCTTTTATTAGTCAATGCAGTTATTTATAGGAGCTGAGATGATAGATTATACTAAATTCACTTTTCCTGAGTCCAATGTCTACACCTAATTATTTGTTAGCAGTGGTTATTGTGATACCGGAACAAAATAACAGCAACAATATGTTACATGAACTGAGTGACCTATGCCACCAAGGAAACCAAGACAGACTAATTTGGAACTGCCCAGATCCTACATGTCCGTGGAATTCTCACCGCTGACTATAACTGAAAGAATATCACCACAAAAAGTATAAGCATATGGATTTCCCCTTTCATTAATGTTTTAAAATTTGCCATTGGAATCAATTACGTGGGCACAAATATTTTCTTCCAGTCAGTTGAGCTAATTTGGGGGTTAGACTTATGGGAAATTGAAAGGAATGTGGTTTACGTGCAGGGTTGTCAGATAAAAATGCAGGGCACCCAGTAACGTTTAATTCTGGATAAACAATGAATACTTTTCTAGCATCAGTATGTCCTAAATGTTGCACTGTTGTTTATCTGAAATTCAAATATGACTGGGCGCCCTGCATTTTCATGTGCTGATTCTGGCCTTCCTACCTAACGTGAATCACAGCCGATGTGTCTCTACAGTGGGCCAGAGATTTGTCCCCATAGTGACAGCTGCCCTTGGAACTTAAGCCAAGAAGGCAGTTTGAGCCTTGGACTACAGCTATTAACACAGATTCAAATATATACAAAGGATCAACGAGGTACAAAGCACTTGCCCAGCCAAAGCAGAAGACTCCAATAAATTAAGAATATAATCCCTTCTTTGGATGCAGGGAATGGAGAAATTCATCTATTTACCCTGCCACGTCTTACACGAGTGCTTAGAATGGCTGAGATGACTAACTATTCCTATTCTACTAATTATTCTCACTATTCCTCTTATTCTACTAACTATTCCTTTTAACTAATGAATCAGGCAATGAAGCAATTGCCATTTACTGACTTTCTACCACGTGTCTGAGAGAATACAAGAAAAAAATAAGGTTTCACCCTCAAAAAGGCTCATCACTTAGACACAGAGATTCATGAAGCAATTAGGAAAGAATTAAATGCTAAACGGTGGAATTGGTGCTAAATTCAGAGAAAAGCAAGGCTGTGTCTGGATCAGATTATAGTGAAGGCCTCCAGAAAACAATGGCAGTTGAGCTGGGCTGAGTAAGGTTTGAATAAGCACACTTCAGAAATTTTAAAGAAATCCTAAAATGGCCTCTTAAATGTCTCTTAAGTGTTTTAACTAATTTGTTTATATTAGAACATGATAAAAGAAAACATTATGGCCTCCCACAACTGTTTTCAGATACTTTATTCCACCGTCAGGTTCCCTAAGATATACAAACACTGAACCTTAAATTTAATCATTATTTTAGTACGTAGGTTATCTTCACAAAAGGCCATTTGAATATCCACGAACACATCTTTGGACGCCCACCATGTACCAGGCACAGAACTAGGCATCACAAGACAGACATCTCAGCTTTGTGAAGTGCACACAGGTGGGCACCCTGCTGCAGCTAGAACACCGGCCTCCTTATAATTGGCAGTGACTCCTGGGACCAACACAGAACAAGCTTATGCCGTCTCCTCATACATCCTGAAAATATTTGACAGACACACTATTTCTGCTTAATCTTCTCATCACTGAACAATCCTCCTCCTATACGGTTTACATGCCTCTCATGTTATTGTGACTCTTGTTTGTCTAGACCACAGAACTAAAAGTAATGATCCCAGTGTAAAATATAGCACCAAGAATAGGGTATTAATAGAGTAGAACTATTAACCAGCATGAGGTAGATTTTATAGTTTTGCAAGTAAAGCCTAACATTAGATTTTTTTTTTTTTACAACTGTTGGCATATAAAGAATATAAGCTCCAGACATGGGTTTTTTTTTTTTACTATTTTGTTCACTACTGTCTCCCCGATGCCAAGAAAAGTACATGGTTGGTAGTATTTTCGATACATATTTGTTGAATGAATAAATGAATGAATGGAGTAAATAAATGAAAAAATAGGAAGCTTAGGGTCAATTAAGTGACCAAATCATTTTTACCTGAGTTTCTACCAAACAAGATCACCTTTCTTACACAAACTTGATCTTTTGAGCTTAAAGTCTTCACTTTTAGCTTCATTAAATTCAATCGTTTATTTTTAGCTCCATTATATTCAATCTTTTTAGGTTCCATGCAATGGTTCATATGATCAGGAATATTCTGAATATTCTCATCTATTATATTCATTATCCCTCCTAATCTAGGGCCACCTGCATAGTTGGCTGGTACACATCCATCCCATATGCCTTTATCCAGATCCTTAAAGCTTCAGGCGGGAGGATTATATGCCAGAGCACCACAGTTTTCTACCGAGAGGACCCGCTAAAGTAACTGAGACATTAATCAGCTGGATTCAACTGCCATCAAGTTGCTAACACAGCAATACTATCACCTAGCCCATGTTCTATCACCCTATCTATAAGAAGACAATTACATCCTTTGTTAAAAGGGCATTCCTCAGTTTTACATACCACATAATACTACTTAAAAGGGACATGGATGTGCGGAAAGCTGTGTTCTTAGTAAACCCATGGTGGTTCCTAGCAACCATTACAGTTTTTACTAAATGATCACAAATCATCTGCTTGATTAACTGTTCCAGAATTTTACTGCGCACTGAAGTCAAATTTCCCAGCCAATACATCTCATATTCTTAATAGTTTTTATGTCTGGAAAATTTACCAACATCTTTTATATGAGGAGGGACCCAAAAAACCCCCAGAATTTATTTATTAAAAATTCTGTATTCTTACATGTTTAAACTTCTGTCACCTTTAAAGTACTCTCCATTTGATGCAATACACCTATTGGGACTTTTTTCCACTGCTCAAAACAGCTGTTGAACTCGTCAGTTTTGATGCCTTTTAGTGCTTCTGCCATTTTTTGTTTCACCTCTTCCATACCAGCAAAGCATTTCCCTTTGAGGACATTTTTCATCAGGGAAGCAAACAAACAAAAATGTCACTTGGGGCAAGACTGAGTGAATAGGGAGGGTGGGGCATGGGGATAAGTTATGCTGGGGGTTTTTTGTCAAAAACTGCTGAATACTCAGTGAGGTGCGGACAGGTACACTTGTAAGTCACCCGTCATGAAATGGGCAAATGTGTTGAAAGA